ACTAGCTTTTGTTTATGGAAAGAAAAAATTAAAAACAGATTTATTGTCATGATAAGTGTTGTAGAAGTATGACGTATGTGTTTCCAGATGTATCTCAAATAAAAAACCAGTTTCCAAAGCCGTAGCAAATAAATCTCCGGGGACAAAGTACAAAAGCTTATTAAAATATTAATATCAACAAACTTGATATTGTAGGTTATTTGCATTAAAATGGTTTAATAAAAAGGGAACGTATACATATGGAATAAACACAAATACATTATATAACAAATACAATACAAAAAAACAACTTTATTGTTTTTGTCCTATGGGTAGAGTATTGGTGTCCAAACTAGAGATGTACCCTGTGATCACTAAGCCCCCGTCGAATATAAAAATCAAAATTTTATAGACGCCAAAACTAAAGGTATGTAGCGGGCTTAAATTGTTTGATTGTAGCTTCATAAGTTAAATAATTACCAATTCATTATATTATCTACATGTTCTAATAAAACAAAAATCTATAACTTCTACATCATGGTTACATTTTCAACGAAAACCATTCTTTAATAAAAAAAAAATTGCAGTCATAAGGAAAAATGTAAAACAAGACGATGGTAAAAGACGTACAAAACTACGTCATTGCCAAATTAAAACAGAGTACGTGCTCTTTTGCATGAGCGTCGATACGAACTGCTATTAAATTGCAGCATAAATGTGACTGAGCAAAGACGGATTGTAATCCGGAAATTCAATTACTTAGCGGTACAAAGGGACACTGATTGTATGTCAAGGACAAAACATTTCTGCAGTAAGATATCAATTATAGTTAAGATATTTAAAAAGTCATATAAACACAATCGCTAATTTAATCTAAGAATTAAGGACAGATTAACTTATTGATTCGCTAAAAGTAATTACTTAATCCACACTAAAGAACTCCATTAGGGTTCATTGAAGAACCCTGAGTGGCTGTGAATTATTTTATTACTTCACTAAGGAATAATTAGTGCAGTAAATATTATGACTAGATGTCGGCGCGTTCAGTGCGTTATGTTCAGTTAGTGCATTTATAAAGTGTGCCAACAGGTGGCGCTAGTCGTAAAGAAAGCGTAAATATAATCTTTTAATGGAAAATGATAGATCAGCCATTAATTAAATAATGAAATTATTGCATGTTATTTCTTAGAGTCAATAAAATTGTACTAAGTTTTAAAAATTTTGATATAAAAATATTATCAATTTCGTTTAAAAAATCTATTGTATTTTTTTTCTAAATTCATAATACCAACTTGTTTTATTCAATGGACTATTTTAGTCATATATTTATTCGTCCTATTTATCTAATTTTAAACGATATAAATACTAATTAAATATTTACTAGTCCTACTAGTATGGGTCACAATTATTTGCTTAGTCAATTGTCTTACGACAAACAGGATTTTAATCAAACATTCAGACATTAGATATAATTTATCGGTTACATTTTATGCATCGTATTTATATTACTATTAAAAAAAATACTTATTTTAACAATAAGCTCAAAGATAGAGTAGAAGTAATAAAATAATCAAAAATATTATTATTTAGAAGTAAGCATGACAATCAAGATTTTCATTCCCATTCGATTTCTAATAAGTATTCCTAACAAGTATTTATGTGTAAAAATGCTATAAAAATGCTTATAGCTTATAATGATTGGGATATTTTTGTACTCATTATAAATTTAATAAAACTCCATAATTCTAATAAATCACATTGTATTAAGAATTAAAAAAAAAAAAAAACAATAACTGACGTCTATAAAACAGGTTGGCAAGGACGTATCACGTCATTCAATCGATTATTTCCTGCAATTTTCTTAGAACTTATCATCAATCTAAGTCTTAGAATTCTTATGTAAGACAGTTTAAATAAATTAAAAAGTGTTACATAAAAGGTGGTTGTAAATTAAGTTATCGTTGTTATCTCAAGCAACAATAATAACTTGGGTACGAATTTCTAATCACGTGGTCGAGAGTACGAATCCCATTCGACTAATGTCAAACAATCAAACATTTTATTTCAAAAATGGGATACACCTGCAAGCATTACCTTTCGGGTACAAAAAGAATTATCAAAATCGGTCTACTAGCGGCGGAGTTATGCCGTAAGACACAAAAAAAGCAGATAGACGAATTGGGAAGTCGGTCAAAAACTGTATGTGTGGAGGCAAAAATTTTACTTTACAATCAAAACTAACAGAACCGAGGTGCCCTAGGAATAGTTACAAGAAATAATAATAAATTAACATATATCTATTAATATCCTAAAAAAGTATTTTTTTAAAGTATAATTATGTAATAATATATACCATGTAGGAAGTAATTAATTAAGGGAAAATATAATAAACAAAGATTCCCACCTTTGTGGTTGTGGTTTAAATTTTTTTTTTACCTTAATTATGTGTAATGTTTAAATACCTCATAAAACTCGTATTACATTTTCATTACAATTATATAGCCGCGAATTTCTCCGATTAACTAATGACTATTACTTTATTTATTCCGTTACATAGAGTTAAGAAAACTACATCCTTTATGTTTTAATAGTTGGCAGTATCACTTTTTATCGTGTATTTAAAAACTTTTAATTTCATTATAAATCTGTAGATAAAATTTCATTTTAACTAGACGTGTACTGATTTAATTCTCACATATCTTCATCAAAATCACAGTCGATTCCCCAAAGTAACCAGTCTCATATATTTAAAATGTGCCATTTATTAGTATAAAATTGATCATAGATAAGGAAAAAAAATTGAATGCCATTCCTAATACCAAAGCAAATTCCAAACAGGTTTATGCGCAATAAAATAACAATTTTTGCCGTAGTTTTCGACTTAAATTCTTTTATCTATTTGTGTTATTTTTCAGTGAGAGGAGGTAATTTTTTAAACAAATTTACATGCAGTATAAATAAATTTTACAATTCGAAACAATTATGTGAATTAAATTATATGTTCTAATTTTTAAAAATAGCAATTAGTTTAAGTAAATCATAAACATAACTTTTTTTTGATAATATGAAGTGGCAAGCGGCCATCTGAATCAACAGAAATTGAAAACAACCGCTGCCCATAAACATCCGCAATTGCAGATGTGTTGCCTACCTTTACTCGACGGAGGAGACGCACATAAAGAGTACATTTTCCCTTCCTATACGTCTCCACCACCGTCAAGTCCACTGTTCCTTCCCATCCCTTCCTATTAAAAGGGTGGAAAACGACTAATATTAGGCCTCCTTGAAAAGCAAAACATTACTTAGTGACATTTAATTTTTATTTCACTGTCCCTGAACCAATTTATAAATCGTTATAATGTACGAACGTAAACTTTGCCTATTGTATTCCATATCTGGATCATAATAATTTTCCATTTAAATTAAAACATATAACATATTCTAGAAACATCAACACAGATATAATATTATGACTAGACTGGACAAAATTACAAATCAAGTTATATTATTTAAAGAACACGAAATGTATTAAAGTATGCTCTACTTTACGTTAAGATCATATCAATGTCGTCTTTAACGAAGAATAAAAACATTTCCTCTTTATTATATGTTAAAATTAAGTGAAAATGTCAAGACAATTTTCGCAACAAAGGGTTGCAATTTGTACTACAAATAATACATATTCAGCTTATGTAACCTGATGAAAGTATTTACATCGTTTATTGTTAAAAAAAATTTAAACCAGTAAAAGCTATTAAGTTTAAATTAATTGTTGCTAATTAATATTTTTGAGGACAACGTGTGAAATACTAAAAAAAATTGAGGTCACCAAAATTATGGTCAAAGTACATCATCCTAGATCATTTCAATCCATAATTGATATTTATAACGATAGAAGTAGGTTAAGATTTAACGAACAACAAAGATGGAGTTAGAAAATCGCTTGGAACCCAAAACCTGTAATACCCACATACTGCAATCTCTGCGCTAGTTAGGAGATTTGAATTGAGCCCTGTATAAACAGGAATAAAAGTTCCCTATCCATATTGACATATAGAACCCTTCTTCTAAGCATAAGTTTGCAGAGCCGAAACACAACTGTGAAAACATTATTGTTGTTGTCGTTCGTAGTCTTACAATATTTAACAACTAGCTTTCGCCCGCTACTCCGTCCGCTCGGAATAAAAAGAAACAAAAGCAAGTAGCCTATGTGTTCTTCCAGACTATCCTCTCTATTTTTGCCACATATCATCGAGATCTCTTCAGCCGCTTAGGCTACAAACTCCAACAAACATCCATCCATCCATCTAAACTTTCGTATTTATAATATTAGTAAGAAGTAAGATAAGTTTTCATTAAGATGTTTCAGCAGTGAAAACTCACTGTTAAAGCAAAAATTTCCATCTGATGCTACTAGTTATTATTCCTACGTTTGTATTATTGTTTTTTAATTGTTTCTAATTCGAAGTCATAGAGATAAGAAACGTGATACAGGTTAATTGATTTTTTATTTATTTCTAAACGAATTTTTTAACTAGTTTTCCGTAATTTTCAATTATTTTTCTGGAATTACACAAGTTCGTAACTGATGAGTATCTGCACTATTTTCTTGAATTACTACCGTTTCTGTATGTCAAGTTGTTTCTAAGTTAAATCTATGTAATTAACATATTGTTTTTAACTAAACAATCAAGATAAGTTTTTAGTATCTTTCGACTTCAAAGAACTCGCGTCTTCGTGCAAAAAATTAGTGTAAACAGAAATACATCATTGTTAAAAACATTAAATTGGCTCATAATAACGAAATTAACTTTAATATGCGAGCGATAAAAAAAAAACAAATCCGTCGCCCTTCATTAAATATGTTAAAAACAGACGTCCGAATAAAAAAGAGAAAGCTAGTATGGATAAGCCAGTTATAGCTCCACGTAATCATAATTATTAAAGCAGAGAAAATATTAAGCGTATTTCATACTGAATTATAATAATAAAGGTGTCAAAAACAAATAAATTATACTTACACCACTTTCTGAGGAATGCGCTGGAGAGCTTCGCGCATAGTTTGTCGCGGCCCTGCATTTTAAACTGTCAATTATTTTTATTTTAAATTCAATAAAAAAAAATACCACAACACACACAGACACGTCACACACAAGCACAACACTTAAATCACCAGTGTCGTTCCATTTAGTTTTTATTTTGTTTGAAGTTATTCAGAATGTAAATACGGATCGACACGTCCCTTCCGTGCGGCGGTCTGACGTCGACTGAGGCAATGGGAGCGTTGGCACGCGTGTGCGCAGCTCCTGCAACAAGAGAAAAATCTTATAGGAAAAATAAACGTGATTAGTCCGAATGGTTTTTAAAGTGATAAGGTTTATTAGCAATCAAATTGAACTGAATAATTGGTCGCTCTGACATTGAAAGGTACAACGTTCTTCATCAATACGTTTAACAATATCCTTATTTGGCTGTAGGTTACCTTATTATACCTGCAATCCTAAAACTTTTTGTTTCTTTACGCAGAAGGATTAGTAATTTGCATCCTTCCTCAATCTTTTTCGTGTCTTTATTCCAATGGGGAAATTTTCATTGATATTTTAAAAAATAATTCTCAAAATAGCAATCACAACAACTAATGCATTTATTAATAATGTAAATAATTGTTATTTTTTTATGAAAATCATGTGAAATGTATTATATATAAAAATAAGAGAATAAAGATATGAAGTGATGTAAATAAAACCTCTGTAGCTAAACATATTAGAAATAGAGGCAATTTGTTCGTCTGGTACATTGGTATGTAAAAGTCTAACGACTTCAAGATACGTATCACATTTCAAACAGACGACTTTAGTCATCACTTTGTGATTTATGACAGATTGCTTTTAAACGCATTTTAAATACAATTAAGATAAAGGTCATCAGACCTTTGTTAATTAGAACGATCTAGTATTAAATTGTATTACATACGAGTACTAGTTGTTCCCGTGCGACTTCATCTGCATAAAATATGAAAATTTTATTTTGTTGTTTCCATGTGTCAAATTATTAATTGCAAATGTCAAAATGACATGAGATGACAAACCATGGTAACCTTGCTTCCTTTATGTTGGCAACAACTTATGGTCTCTTTTCCACAGTATGGTTTTTATGCAAAATATTTACCTCTAAGTTTAACGGCGTAAAAACATAAAGCCTAAAGCGTGATGTAACTGTAGGGCTTTTTATTAAAAATAAGTTTTATTCAAAAATATGCTGTAATTGCTGACATCTTAGGCAACAAAGAAGTGTGTGTTTACGCTTTATTATAATAGTATAGATATAGATGACTACTGAAGGGGATATAGTTAGACAATACATTCATTGGGCAATGGCGAATTTTTCAAGCAATAGGCGTACGCTTCTTTGTAAGTTAATAATGTTATTTCACTAATTTCATTGTAATTAAAACCTTAAACATTTACAAGAATTGCAACCATAAAGAATAAATCACTATATCATACTAATAATGTAAATGCGAAAATTTAGATGGATGGATATTTGTTAGAGTTTGTAGCCTAAACCGTTATACTAATTTCAATGAAATTTGGTATAGATGTAGAGGATAGTCTGGAAGAACAACGCTAATCACTTTTGTTTTTTTTTTCTAATTCCACGCGGACGGAGTCGCGGGCGAAAGCTAGTAAAAACACATTTTTGCTACAAAGCTGGAATTTGTCCAGTTTCTCAGAAAAAGGTCAACCGTTGTTTGAACTTTTTTAAATTATTTACAACCATCGAATGGAATTAATTATATCTTGTATGTAGTAGTTTATTATGCATATTTAAAAAAAACAAAACCGACTTCCAAACAAAATACACTAAAAACAAAACAAAATGCACTAAAAACAAAACAAAATATTCTCAAAAAA